ATTGATGAGTCCCCTGTTATGTTTGGATTTGTTGTTTGGGTATGAATTGTTGGTTGTTTGGGTATGAATTGTTGTTTGGATATGAATTGGTCTATTGGTTGACTTGATTAGTTGTGCTGGTGCGTTGGTGGAATGCTGGTATGATTTTGTTGACGAGTCCCCTTTGTGTGATGCATTGAGTCCCCTCCACACAACTTGCATCGTATTGAAACCCATCCAAAATGATGAAGGGACTCATCTGATAGCTATTTGAGTGTCATGGCTGCTCTAGTTACCTCTGTTTGAGGTTTCTATTGAGGTACCATAACTCATTGATGCCTTGAAAGATAACTGTAACCCTTTCTGATGGATGATTAGTGAGAAAAAAAGGTTATGTTTGCATTAATAACAAAAGGTTGTGTTTTTTACAAAACCAAACTTAAGTAGCATACAAGACTGTCTAAGAATGTGTAACTTAATTATGTACCAAAATACACCTAACCAATACCAACAAAAACAACAAAAAAACATGTTAAGATTGTACTGGTTATGTGTGGCAGTCTTTGCCTTAGCTGGTATGAGTTTGCTTCCATGTATTCTTCAATCTGCATCAACTTCCATTTGGAATTCATTTGCACCAGTACTTGGGATTGTGATTGAATTAAGATAGTTAACAACTTCTGCAATTAGTTCCTTGTCTACCTCTAGCAAATCTGGTAGAATACCTTGCCTGTATAGACTTCTTTTTTCATGTGTGATGGTGTGTAGTTGTTTCCTCCTTTTCTTGTTAATACCTCAATCATGCATGACTGTAGTGTAATCCAACTGTATTTGTTCAACTCTGGATCAAATCCTTTGAATGCTATTTCAACTTCTTTGATAAGATCATCTAAATTCTGAGGGAATGACTGATACTGCAGTGATTGAATGACATTGAAGAGTCCTTAGTCTAAACATTCATATCTGGTGATTGAGCTGGTTGAAAAACAAACTGTATGTTGAATCATATGCTTGACATGCTACTTGAAATTCTGGATCTTGTGGTATTTGGTGAGGCCTAGCATTGTCCCATTGAATAGTTATGTCCTTGGGCAGCTGTGGGGGCCATTGTGCATGTATTGTGGGCAACACATGATTAACTAGCATGTCCCTTATTTCCTCCTTGTTTATACTCTGGATTGCCTTAGCCTCTATGGTCCCCTGGCTTTGTCTCTGTTTTTACTCTTTTTCTTTGCTTCCTCATACTTCATAAAAGGGAATAGACCATACTTCCCATCATGTAAAAGTTGTTTATTTGCATCATACAATGGTTTCCCTATCATGCCCATAAACATAGCCTTCACCTTAAACCTTCTGGACTGTTGTGCTCTGTATGGATTGTCTTCTGTTGGAAGAAGATAGAATGTCCTTGTTTTCTGGGTTTATAAAAAACCACTTCTCATCAATGTGTATCCATTGTTGCATGTCTTCAAATGAAGGGTCCCTTCAGCTGGAATTGAGTGATGTGACTAAGAACCCATTTTAGTCTTGCTATTTTATGATTAACATCACAAAATAGCAAGACTAAAATATTTGCTAAGAAATTAAACATCACAAGATAATATGGCATTCGAATCCCCCTTGTAACATCACTCCTTTTTTTTTGGGGGTGTTTTATTTTAACCATACCACTCGACTACTCCCTTATTCCTATTTCCCAACCAAACCCAAATTACTTGATTGTGTACCCGTTTTTTTAAATAGGTTGATGTTAGTTGAATTATCGAAATTGTCCCCCATTGTCAAATTTCTAGGTCCACCACTGTCCTCTTGGTCTGCAATTCCCACGCACCAAACTCCATAGTTTTTCTTGTTTAAAATTAGGAAAATTTTCAAAAACCACCCAAAAATGTGTTGAATTTCTAACTAACCACCCAAAAAAAAATTTATTTTAAAATACCACCCATTAAATTAATTTTTTTGCTCAGATTCCCACCCAATTTGAAAATCCGGTGGTTTTTTTAGCTTAAGGGGCCCAGTTTAGTTATTTCCCTCTTTTTTTTTTTCCCTTTTCTCTCGACTTCACTGTCTTTCACTCTCTTTCTCATTCAATTCTCCCAACTAACCCTATTCTACAATCAAATTTCACTCCTTTTTTCAGCGAATTCCCCCTTTCTTCATAAATTGCTGTGCATTGTTCAATTCAGAACCCTAAATTCGACATTAAAACCCTAATTGTACTTGCAACAGGAATTAATCTAGAGTAATTGCTTGAAGTGGGGTTGTTTAATTGCAAAAAAGTCGCCATCTTTTGCTGTTTACCGGGGACCAGGAGCTCAGGTGAGGAACCTGACAATAGCTCAGTGCAATGGCGTCGAAAGAGGTAAGCAATTTTGTTGTTTGTGTTTAATGTTGAAGGTTGTTGGTTGTTGATGGTATATTTGCAATTATGTGGAACCCTAATTAATGAATCCCACAAATTCCCCCAATTAACATTTTGCAAGAACCCTAATTTTTCCAGATAATTGAGATTACCTTGTGCGAATTCAAGTGATGTCGTTGCTGCAGATGCAAATGCAATTAGAAGCAATCTTAATTTTGTGTAATTTGGGGAAAAAATTTTGTTTAGGAGCAAAAATTGAATAAGGAATACACTTGTATAGGAAAAATCGGGGAAGAAAATAAATAAAAGCATACACTAGCCGTTAATAGCCGTTATGTGGGCCCCACAAGCTAAAAAACCACCGGATTTTCAAATTGGGTGGGAATCTGAGCAAAAAATTAATTTAATGGGTGGTATTTTAAAATAAATTATTTTTTGGGTGGTTAGTTAGAAATTCAACACATTTTTGGGTTGTTTTTTGAAAATTTTCCTTAAAATTATACTGATTTTCATTCGACCATTTTTGCCATTGTTATGCAGTGTTTCTTCTTTGGCTTCCTTCATGTCTAATCCGCTGAAGTAAGCTGTTTTTAGAAGGGAATTTGTTTATGGTTTTACACTTCTATTTAGTACTGATGAGCTGGTGCCAAATATCTTGCATTATGCCATTATGGACACCCAGATGTTTTCGATAATATAACACGTGATGGTATAAGCAAGGCTTCTCGTGTTATAAATATCAGTGAAGATATATTCTCAGGTAGGTTTTCTAACAAGATTAGATACATTCAAAGATTTCAAACCCTTATCAGGAGTTGTACTTTATGAATCACTAGTTATACTAGTCTATTAGGTTAGGTTTATGTTATTTTTAAGGGTCTCTTACTAATAGCATACTTTTGGTCCATGTGTTTTGTTAAATAACTAGGGTTTGAATTTCAAAACATGTAACTTAATTAATTTTTATATACTCTTAAGACCTGTACCTTCAAAATTTCAAACTCATCATTTGTGTGTGTGATTTGTTCATTAATCAAGGTTTAAAATTCAAATTTGTATATTATCATATACCTTGTACTTTTAGGACGTGTACATTATAGATATAAGAAATGAACTCCTGAATTGTACCAAAATTTGTAATTTATAATTTTATTTATTTATTTATTTATTTATTATTATTATTATTATTATTATTTTGACACATTTACAGAACTACCTTATAATTGTTTGGTATACTTTTAAGATATATATTTTAATTTTATAGTTATGTGTGTGTGTGTGGTGGGACCCTTCCCCGGACCCTCACCTCGCGGGGATGCCAATGTGCACCGGGCTGCCCTTTTGTGTGTGTGTGTGTGTATAATTTGTTTCATAATCAAGGTTCAAAATTTCAAACTTGTACCTTACAACTTTATGATATGTACTTTATAAATTTAATTTTAGTTTATGACATGTAAATTGCAGCTCTATGGTATGTATGCATCTTATGTGGTTTCTATTGGCCTCTTTACTTATTTTGGCTTAGTACTCACTTTTCATGAATCTCCAACTGTCATTCTAATGTTCCATGTCAGATGACCTTTTGCCCTTTCCTCATTGAACTTCTACTGTCAAGTTGTGCAGCAACCTGCTGTTACTGAGTTATCTTTTTCCTTTCATTTTTCTGCAGTTGACGGTGCTGACAGTGTACATCTTTCTTTATCTGGTAGGTTGACAATTCTACTAGTGTCAATACCACATTTACCTGGCAGATATATCATGCTGTGTGTGACTGGCTGGATTTTATATTATAGTGTTTTTATATTAATTTTAAATAATACTTTTGATGGTTTTGTATTTACTTAGGCAACTTTATTTATATCATTTGTCATTATGACATGAATTGTTTTTTTAAAGCTTGAGATGAGGTTATTGATCTAGAAATTTCTTCACTCTTAAGATGGCATTTATAGAAAAACATTATTGTTAGAAAAAACAGTATCAAGCAACTGGGAGGGGTTTTGTTGTCCGGCATATAAAGTTGAGCGAAAGCTACAGGCTTTATTCTCGGAGTCATTTTGTCAAAGGGTATATCCTTTTCTCCTTGTCATGTTGCTCGTATAGTGTCTTGAACAGTCTTTGAGCTGTATGGCTTTCTCATTGCAGGCTTGAAGTTGTGCTTTTGTTGATTGTTTTTTCTTGCTTATGGCTATAATGATGGTGGTGCGATAGGCTACATTCTGCTTTCTATCAGCAGTTGGTTTATGGCCCTCTCTTGGCTATTTGCTCCCTACCTGTTCAATCCATCCGGTTTCGAGTGGCAAAAGTAAGTTGGGGGGTTTGTGACTTAAAAGCTATCTAGCTTTTGTGGACATCAACAACTTTGCTTAATTTAATTATACTAATTCATGTTTCCATTTGTTATGTCTAGGACTGTGGAAGACTTCAGTGATTGGACAGATTGGCTTCTTTATAGAGGTGGAATTGGTGTTAAGGGTGAGGAGAGTTGGGAAGCGTGGTGGGAAGAAGAATTGGTGATTTCTCTACATCTCTAAACTTGCCAAACTACTATTTCTTAAGCTGTATCATCTTAACTGTATACTTTGGCACCTAAACCCCTTTCCAATGGTGTCCATGTCAATTTTGCATAATAATTGAGTCCATGATGGTTAATTTCAATTTAAGCAGAATTCAGGAAGCATAGTGGCAGCCTGAAAGCAACTGATCCATTCTTCAGTACAGGTTGAAAAGTTTGTATGTAGGTTGTTTAGTCTTGAAGCTAGTTGATACGCCAGATATAGAATAATAGATCCAAAAGGTTGAACAAAGACATCTACCATATACCATCAGACCATCACCAATTCACCACCCACCAGACCACCACTTCCACCTCAAACTGAAGCATGGAGAATGGAACATAAAGCAAAGAAAGCTTAGTATGAACCTGAGAGATAGCATCATAACGAGCGATTCCCCAAGCAGCTTCCTTAACTGCCAAAGCAAAAGGTTCACATGGAATACGCCTACATTATCGCATCCAAACAAGCATAAGTCATTTGCAGAACACAGAAAAGTTGCATAATAAGAGAAATATCATATTCTTAATCAGAAAGACGTTTCAGGACATGTAAATGAAGATTAAATATCGCCAACCATTAATCTCATGGAGGCATAGGTCTAGTGGATCTGAGATGGCTTACCATTTTGCAAATCGAGCACCCTGATTATAATACTCAGCAGACCTTGAAGCCAGGCCATCTAACCCTTGGCACCAAGATTCATTGTTTGAGCCTGGCAGAGGAACCAACATCTGCAATGCAAAGAGTGAGGACATAAAATGAGGTCATTGATCAGTATTTACAAGTAACAATCGAATGTGGAAGACGTTCAAACTGTCATACCTTGTCGACCTTGATGACAGGCACGACATTCTCATCAAGTAAGCAGTCGACAATTTCTTGCCATCCGTTGTAGACTGGTAGAGTGTTTCCTCAAACAGAATGACACTAGAAATGTGTTCGCCAAGACCAGGAGTTGTCAGTAAGAGCTGCCTATACATCTGACGATTGTTCTCAGTGTTATCTAAGCCAATTGATGCCAGTCTCTTCCCACAAGTTGCATTCGATTCATCAATGGCAAGAATGCCACGTGCAGGAGAAGCAATAGATTTCTGCGAAGTTAAAATTCAGTATTTAAACATTAAACATGTAGAAGTATACTTGATCATGGAACATGATTAACTATCACATTGTCGATACAATAAAAACTTATGCAACATATATAGGGGATGTATACATCTAGGTGCAACTCTCAAGATCAAATATCACCATCAAATTGATGATACAAGTAAAAAAAAAAAGATATACTTGGTATGTCAGTACTCGAGATCACAAGCACCACCACATATAACCAAACCTAACATAAAGTAACCTTTTAAAGGGGGAGGATCATGCTGTCTAATTCAATAAATGTATAATTCGTTTATTCGTTATCCCCACACCCCGGAAATCACAATCACGAGCATATTGGCTTGTGGTACATTGTATAGTAGTACATTTTTGAACTGCCTTAGGGAATCAAATTTCAGAATCCAAAATTCCAATACCCATTCCGAGCACCAAAACTTATGGTCTGGTGTTCCAAGTGACATTCAACAACCAAACATAGGGACAATAATCTAGACTAGTACTAAAATTCCAGAGTAAGTTTAACAGAACACTGCTATTCAATTGAACCTAAGCTAATTTTGACTAGTATTATATACTCCCTCTACTCCTTGTTGTTCCCGTTTAGATTTGGTCACAAGATTTCAAACAGGAACAACTTTTGGGAACAAAGGGAGTACTTGCGATTGCTACAAGCCATTGCAATACAAATTCACAGTTTCTAATTCAGGCAGTTTTAGTTGGCTAACCAATTAGATATCAGCTACACTAACAGAAAACAATCAAAACAAGATAAACTGCAATTCTTAATGTTTATTTCTTTTTACAATATGATCAAAAGCTTTCATTAAATGAATCCAATTTTCAGGACCAAATTTCCTATATTCTATCACATCCACCATTCATATCTTATATCTTCTATTAAAGATATAGAACAACTTAGACAAATGATCAGTCCAAAATACAACAAAAGTGAAAAACCAAACCATCAAGCTTAAGAAAACAAGCAACAAATGAGATAAAAGCATAGACAACATACAGCAGTGCTAACAAGCTCATCTTAGCTTAGTTAAGTATAGGGAATAAGAAAAAGGCAGAAGAATTTTTGAGAAACTAGTTGCACGCCACGCGATGCGCACCGCGTTTCAACGTCGTTATGCTTAAATGTAATATGATTTTTTAGTAATCGCTCCGTTAGGATGATTATGAGAGAATTAAAGATGATCCTGAATACATAAGCATATAATATGAAGGAGATAGTGATTGTGTAAGGCTAATTATAATTGTGTCATAATATGAATTTGCAAGCAGGATAATAAGATATAGCATGTAGGTAGCATAACAAGTAGCATAAAGATGCTAATATGTCTTTGTGTCACGGTCCGGGAGTTTGGACCCCAAAACGTGCGGCGCGCTCTAGCCTTTTGGCGGCAAGAACGCTAGCCTTGAGCGGAAGAGGGGCTTGTGAGCACAAAGCAACACAAGCGGGCAATAGAATCTCAGGAGCACTCACGTCTATCTGGGCGACGGAGTGCGGGTGGTCGGGGCTTGTGACGGCCGATACTTCAAAGCGGGCACAAGCGGGTCCGAACCACGAGTCCTTAGCGCATCAAGTTGGGTTGGAGGGGAGCTAATATGCAAGTAAGACACAATATCTATAAAGGTCTAACAACAAACAAGCATAAAAGCAAGGCAACACTTGGTAGAAGGCTTTAAGATTTCATTAATCATTCGCCCTCTAAAGAGCTTTAAATGACATACAAAGAGAATCCCTAGTGAACACTGATCTGACAGTAACACAATAATGGGACCTCAAGCAAAGAAAACATAACCTAAACTCTAGGAAAGCACTTAAATGGAATCTAATACATCAAAAGGAGTTGGATTCTAACACTTTGACACGAAAATCTTTCTAGTTACTCATTTCACTATGATATTTTTCAAAAGACATTGAATCCTTATCATTAATCTTTGATTGAATAATCGAATGAACCTATAATTCATCCGGAATTTTGATCACAGCATAATTATAGCTTATACAAATAACATCAGAACAGACCCATCAGAATAGACTCATTCCTAAATTATGATCACAGCATAATAATAGCTTATACAAATATTATTATGACTTGTGCTAGATTCAGACCTTATCACAGACTAGAAAGGCATCACTTCTTTCCATCCACTCTAGAAGGCATGACAATTGAAAATCATGCTCACAATTTGTCAACATTCGAGGGTTTATACAACGCATTACTTTATAATAGAAAATCTAGTACCTTCAAGACAGATAAGACATGTATCCTTTCCTAAGGGACTAACTCATAAGCCTCAGTAGGTTTTGAAATTTCCACATCAGACTTTGACGGTGAGGCAAGCAATATATCAGCAAGAGTTTTTCCTTCAGATTTCCCAACATGATCAATAGGAGTCAATATATCAGAGTTATCGGCAACAACATTTTCAGCAATGCCTGCAGGTTTCAGCTGTTTGGTTGTATCAATTTTATTAGATGCTTGGTTTCCAAGAGTACAGAATGGAGTTTGTGGGAGCCCAAAAAGCACATTGAACGGAATGGGTGCAGGAGGAGATCAGAAAGTATCAGGGCTTGATGTGTCAAGATTTAATCCAACCAGCAGCCCTGTTGACAAACCAGAGGCTGTTCCGTGATATGCTCTCAAGTTTTCCTACTCTTCCAAGGATGGGGGACTCTGCATCAAACAGAATGAACAATGAGCCATCCAAAGTTGTAGTTAAGTGCTCAAACAACCAAAATTGTAACAAAATGATTTTTGAGCTAATTTACATGAATAGTGTTCTATTCAGAAGAAATCCCTGAACCAAAAGCATGATTGCCAGAAAAAATCATGCATATATGTTAATCAATTAAATTTTATAATGCAAGACAAAATTTCCAAAAGCTAGAGATTATAGGTTAAGAAAACGACTACTTAACACCGAGCTATTCGAAACTTGGAAATTTGGAGTATATTGCAGAAGTTGTTCGTGAGATAAAAATATTTAATCAGCTTGATGTACTTTTCTCGGAAGGCTAATGTGTGAAATTTTAGCTGAACGGCTAATTCTGAGCCTGATGAGTGAATGTGAAACTGTCTCAGATTATAGATTGATCACTTGACGATGCTTCTGATGTCTAACAAGCCAAAGGAAGTGATATATATAAGTTCATCATCAACATCAGAAGCATCATATTAAACTACTGTTTCCTTTGGCTTGTTTGACAGACTACAAGCAGTCAAGCAACCTAATTTACCAGAATACAGCTTAGAATTCAGAATCAAATGCATTTTCAACACAGATACATTTAATAGTCACAGATGTCACAGCCATATGTAAAGGGTATGCCATATACATATATACAGCTAAATACACCATCTATTCAAATAGAGACTACATATAGAAGAATTAAAATATAGAGTATATACCTAAAAATCAGAAGAATTCCAAAAATCTAATCACTAAATATTCATTCATCTCAAATATTCATTCATTCCACAAGGAATTGTTTCCAGAGTTGAAACCTTTAGACCATCATACGAAAAGGGTAATCTTAATGGTAACCTATGTAAACTCACCAAGATGGTCAATATTGCAATCATGAACACGAGAAAGCTCCTCCTCCGTGAGATTATGATAATATGAATTTGTCAAATCAATATTATGAAAAAGATTAACCCATCTGATGAAGTAATGGTATAAGTTCGACGCAAAGCATTATAAAGATAGGCATAGGTCATATATATATCAAATTCATAGATTGGGGGCCGATAATAGCAAGCGTATCCGTCTCCGTGAACTGCAATGCTTCAGGAAATGATTCATGTTTGTTTTACGATAAACCAAACTGCAAATTGCATCAACCTGTTTACTAAAAGTCTTGTATATACTAAATATCTAATATATAGTCTCCTATATTTTACTTCCTACAAAGCCATCAATTAAGCTTAATTTAATCAATCTCATCTTGACTCAAGATTTATCAGAATATAAACCAAAAATTATAAATCGATATTTCATGCGTGCAGATACTAATGTGGCTGAGCATGTTAAAAGTTGTTCATATATAATTTTTCCAACCGACTCATCCGCATTCGGTATTATATTCCTAGTAACAATCACATTATAATGCGATATGCCGTTGCTAACTCCAAAAGTCCAAAATGTGAAAGCACAACATTACACACATCTTCTTTAACTGCTATTATAAAGCTTGCTATTCATTAAATTTATAAGGTGTACTTGCTAGTGAAAGCATGTAAAAATACATTTTCGCGTACCTACTTGAATATACCATCTTCAGTTTCGCCCCAAAATGGACGTCTTCCACAGAGCAACATTTAGCCATTTAGGTGATGACACTAATACTCCAGACATCAGACTCTAGGCCTGACTTTCTTTTCAGTACTTCTGGGGCAACATAGTAGGCACTGCCAACAAAATCTTTGAATATTTTCTCTATAGGAAGCAAAATGTTTGTGCCACATTGTCAAACGTTTGCGATAAATCAAATATAAGTCAGGTTGGACAAGAGAAATGTCTACCCACAAGCAGCAAGTGCATATTGACATTCCCCTTTCTACTCACCAGGTTTTATGAAATCTGATAATCCAAAGTCTGTGGCCTTTCAACTTTTCAAGATGAAATCTCTTCAGGCGCTTTGAAAAAAAAAGTTCTACAAACAAGCAGCACATTGGAATAAAACATAAACTTCCATCATAATTCATCTACTGCAATTGAAATGTAAGGTCCATATTTTCAAAAGAAAATCTACCTCGGGCTTCATATCACGGTGCTACCAGACCATGTAAGTGGCAATGAGCAGCAACTTTCAGCAACTGACGGACCACCACAGTTGCATCTTTCTCTGAATATCGGTTATCCTTTCTGATTTTAGTAACATAAGAAATTAGCATTAGCACACATACATATTGTCACATCACCAGGTACAATCATGAATCGCTGGCAGAGTAGATTATTGCTTACTTGGCTAGTATGCAATTCAGCAACACTTCACCTTCACACAACCTGATGACAAATGATTATCAACGTCATATTCAAATAACATGGTGATAAAGGAATTAGGGGTAAACAATTACTCAAATTTTACTTTTATTGAAGATGAACTACCATCAATTTGTGATCCCCAAACTTTTATATATAATAATGAATTATATTTTTAGTGAAGATGAACTACCAAGAGATGTCATTAAAGACAATTCAATTACCAATTTGCTGATAGCATTAACACAAAATAATTACGATACACTCGTAACCTAGCATCTCCTCAAAATAATTATGATACACTTGTAACACAGCATTTCACACTTGATACACTTGTAACAAAGTAATTCAACAAACAAAGATAAATGTGTCCTAGTGGTTAGATATGGGCCTTGAGATGAACAAAGTTGCTAGGAATTAGCTCTCAAATCAGTAAGCAAGCAAGCTAATTAGATAGAAAAGGATAGCTAAGAGGGATAAGTTGTATTATCAAACTGATTGTTCAACAATACAATGCCTTCTTTCGAGAGGAAGGTGCTCTCCAACAAGTCAACAACAGACTTCTTAACTATATTCAACATGATGATTATTCCTCCTAATGAGGTCTATTTATAGAAAATACCCCTAACAAACCTCTAGCTTATTCCCCAAGTTACTACTAATAGACTATGACTAATGTGCCCTTCCCCTAAATATTGATTCCTTGCATTACCCGCCGCTCAAACTTTCACCTTGTCCTCAAGGTGGTTTATAATCGGAACTGGATTCCCGACCTCGGCAACAGTGACTGAGAGTGGGCTGCAATTCTCTCCAGAAATTGATGAAATACAAAGCTGGCTTTTATGGGTTAAAGAGTTGGGCCGTATAAGAAGTGAAGGGATGAGTTGAAAGGCTAGAGAATGGTAGTTGACTAATTGGGTAATAAGTGTTGGAGAAGGAAAGTTGGGCCTTAAGTCAGTAAGCCCATCTTTTGTACTTGGGTTAGTGTGCTGGCCTTTCATCACGTTTGTAGCAGGTGACCAAAGCTGATTTAAATC